AGTTTTAGCTTTAGTGATTCATACTATATGTACAGCTTACAATTGTTTAATAAAGCACACATAACTAGCCTGACAGAATGTTTAAAAAAAATTAACTATTTAAACATTGATAAATTTAAATTTATAATAAAAATATAATAAATAAAATCAAATTTTTGAAAGTAATTATATATAAAAAAATATCAAAAATTTTATAAAAATCTTAATAAATAAAATTAAGTATAAAATAAAATAATTGAATTTTGATTTTAATTAAAAATAATAATTTTAATAATTAAAAAAAATATTTATTTGAATTATTATAATGTAACAAATTTATATTTAAAATTAAATTTAGAATTTTCGAATCAAGACAAATAAAAAAATTAGTTTTAACAATATATTTCTATAGAAAATTTAATAAAATATATGTATACTTAATTTAATAAAATATTAAAATATAAAAAAATTTTTGTTTAATAAAAATTTTATTATTTTTAAAAGAAAAAAATTTATAATTTGTAATTTCCTTATACAATTAAAAATGATAAATAATTTTATATATAAATCGAATTGCAAAAATAATCCTAAGATATACAGTAGTATATAAAATAAGTATAATACTGTATATAAATTATTTTGACAAAAAAAAATAAACAAAATGCTATAAATTATTTCAAATTGGTTTTATTAATATACAGTATATATATAAAATAAAATGTATATATTTATTTCAATTCCTTAGGTTGCAAATTTAGTATTACATAAAATTAAATTAATATTATATTATAATCTAATTATTAAAATCTTAGAACGAATCACTATCCTGTGTTCGAAACAAAATTTAATAAACATAATGAATTTTGATGACTATATACAATAATGCAAGAGTTTGAAGGTACTCGAGAGAAAAATTTCATCCCTTATTTACAGTATAAATATTCGGCATACTGTACGTTAGTTAAGACATAGTACTTGAGTATTTCGCATAGCGTTTTCCTCATCGGTACCTGAAAGGAATGGTCAAAATATCCGACATTTAGAAGAGTTAATTAAATAGGCAAGGTCATCAAAAAAGGAAAAAAATTAATATACCAAAAGAATTTATAGTTTTAATTCCCAAAATTTAGAGTTGTTCCTCGTGATACACATCCTCAAGTGAAATATATCGAAGATCATCGAGAATTTGATTTGCTGAAGGTCGTATTGAGGGTTGTTTGTCCCAACATTTTGAATAAAGTTTAATAAAAGATACAGGCGTCCCTTCAACCGGTTCTTCACGTTCTCCTGCTAAAATTTTATAAATAGTGAAGGCTGGTTGCCAATGATTAAACGGTGGGCGGCAACTAGAAATCTCCCAAAAAATAACTCCCACGCTATAAATATCAGATTTTGAATCTACTCGATAAGCTGCATTTTCAATCCTCTGAGGTTCAATGAATGGTGCGACTCCGAAGAGACCCATTCCCGATTTTGTCGTACTGTCGCAATGTTTGGATAATCCAAAATCAGTGATTTTAATGTTATTTTGGTGTACCAAAATGTTTCGAGTATGCTGTAATAAAATATAATGTACAGTAAATTTTAGAATAAATTTAAATATGTAAAAAAAAAAAAAAAAGTGTTACCAAATCGCGGTGAACGATGTTTAATTCATTGTGAAGATAATTAACTCCCTCTATTAGCTGTTTTGCAAATTTAAGTTTATCAGCCCAGACGACGTTATCTTTTTCCCTCGTAAGATATTCCCGCAGATTTCCATTATCTGCATATTCGATAATAAAAAAATGGCGATCTTCTTTCTTATCTATAATCGAAAAAGGCCAGTTAAAATAAATACTATGTATTATTACTTTAAATGAATTCGAATAAAATTTCACCGTGGCAGAGTCCGTGAAAGGCAATAATCCTTTCGTTTTTTGCGGTAGAATGTAACTTCAGCTAAAAATAAACATTTATCAATTTAACGGCGCAGAAACGTAGTTTAATGATGAAATGTGCACACGCTTACTTCATTAAGGAAACTTTTTACGCGCGTAATATCGCCAGCATCTACTTCTTTTTTTGCCGCCAAACTTCCCTCCCAGATGCAACTATATACGATCCCAAATGAACCTCTTCCAATTTTTTCTTTTGTCTCGACTTCATTCGAAGGAATATCTTTTATCTTGTACTTTTCAACTGCATCTTCATACCACGCTTCTAGAAATTTGTAAATTCATGCATACTATACTTAGTGTGCTTATATGTACGTACAGTCATCTTTTAAATTGTCTCCCAATTTTCTTACGCAAGTAATATATGAATTGAGTGATGCTTCTAAGGAGACCATACATGCGTAACCGAACGATTTCAATAATAGGTATGACATTATTATGAACTCACCGGCTGCAAAAACGGCAATATACAATACGTTTTAGTATGTTGACTGATTATTAAAAAACAACAACTTATTGTAATAACCAATAATAGATTGCAATGCCAATTAATTTCATTAATCTGGAGAAAAAAAAGATTAAACTTGCACGCTGCATTTCATCAAAAATAGTTTGAATTAAAAGTATCAAAAAAAAATAAATGTTTATAAAAAGAAAAAAAGATGCTTCATTAATACTTAATATTGATAATAATCAAAAATCAGAAATCAAGTTTAATAATTTACCATATATAATTAATCAGCACGGCCAGAAATTTCGATTTGACTTACATGCTTTCCAGTCATAGATCAGGGGAAGGTAAACGTTCAAGAATAAATGACATAACGTGATTATTACATGCTGCATTTGTCCGAATTATTTGTAATATAACGAACAAGAATACGATTAATAACCAATCTCTTTAAAAAAATACAGTATTGAGGAATATGTTATCTTACAAACTGTGGTACGAAGTTTTATACACAAAGAATAAAATAAACTCACGTGCAGTAATCATCAGTTAATAGGATATCTTAGTTACGTAATTAGAAAACAGAAATTGGTTGATCAAGACAAAACTCACGTGTTGAAGTTGATTATAAAAAAATCGAGAGTTCGTTAGCAATCAGCCAATCGAAATATATAAAAAATATGCTCATTCAACTTACAGTCTTAATAATTAAATAATATAATAACGAAAAATGAATTTGATTAGCTACTTTGTTAATAATAAAAGCAATGGAAGGGTAAAAAGTCGCTTTTATTTAACCTACATTCTGTAATTTTAAATAAGTTAGCAAATATGAATATAGGTTTAATAATAATATCAATTTGAAGGCTTCTTTATGAATCTGAACTTACGTACTACATCCGAATTAGATCCGGTCAGTTAGAAGTCAAGGATAAAAACGCATTAATAGATTAAGACACTTGACAAACAAACATCATGGTACAATAATGAGTAATATGATTAATTAAACTCACCAACTATAATTATAAAGACATATTCGGTGGAAAAAAAAAAAAAAAACTTCTATTAAACTCTTTATGAACAAAAAAAAATATAAATAGACATTACTTAATTTAACTTACAATCTACAAATTATCATCGAAGTTAGAGAATTATAAGTTATAAATTGTTTATAATAGATGAATAATTAATACTTACTAATCGCTATGCTTGCTTTTAATGACATCGATAATTATAAAAGAAAAAGTGTGCTGGGCAATTAATCATAATATTTCAATAAGCCACCGATCAAATTTTAAGGATTGGCGTCGCCTACCATCTGTGGCGGTACTTGTAACGTCCGCGCAAGTTTCGTATAGAGTAGGGGTGTCCGTTTTTAGCATCATATCATCACAGAATGAACCATTATAGGTGATGTCTTGTGGTGGCGAAGAACCCATAATCAACTTCCCTTGAACCTTCTGTCCCTTGGCGTCGTTGACAGTCAACGGATCAAAGCTTACGAAATTCCAGCTAACTTTGCATATTTCGTTGCGAGCAGCTAGTGGCTCACTTGACGTACACCTTTCGGTTGTTCGTGAAGGCATTTGGAGCCCGAGCTGGAAGTTTTCCTGACGAATTTTGTATACCAAGATCGATCAAATAAACTTATGGAAAGTACGGAGGCTTGATAATATCAAGCCTTTATTTATTTTCTTAATTCATGATGCTCGTGTTTATTCCGGAGTAGCCATATTTATATATTTCAAATTGCATCCACGTGCCAATGGATTGTACCCCAATAAAATAACGTCAGCGTTTTCGGCGTAATCTTTATACAAAAGGTTTTGGATTTTGGCACTACATTATAGTTCGGCGTTCGGGCATCTCATTCAACGTTAAGGTAGACATGACTGACGCTTTGTGTCAGTACTGGATTGTAATTGAACTTCTGTTAAATTCAAAGATGATAAGGATTCTTACTAGGCGATAGATGGTATACAAAGAAATCAAAATCAAGAATGGATAAATTATACAAATGATTAGAAAGAGAATGTATAAATACTTTAATTTAATGAATACTTAAATTAAAATATACATATAGTAATAAAACAAATAAAAAATTATACTGTATATGCAAAGACTTACGAAGTCAATTTTATTGGGAAGAGAAAAGATAATTTGTGGGATATATTTAGTAAAGCAATTTTCTATACGACACCATCTAATTTATAATAAAGCATATTAATTAATAACTTATTTAAATTACTCCTGCTACCTATCTATTTGTAATTCCAACATACACAAAGTTTTATTGATTTTCTTGTCAATTAGAAAAATAGTAAATGAATATGTGTTAAGAAAAAAAATTTTATAGCCGAGTATTATAATAATGTATTTAAGTTTATTTGATAATTTTTAAAAAAAATTATAAATCTGAAATACAGTATACAGAATGTGAATTTGAGAAAGACTTAAACAGGACAAGCATTTGCTTATATTTTAAAAGTTTTAATGATAGATTCAATTTTAAGAAACTAATAGTTTATTAATATTTCAACTTCTTTATAAATAATATAATAGAAAGGATTTTATTTATTTTATAAATATTGCAATTAAATTTATATTTGACTAATAAATTCAAGTAAAATAGTTTTTATAAAAACAATTTTTTTTAAAAAAATAATAATAAGAAATGGTTGTTTTTTAATAAGAAATAAACAAAAAATTTTTGTTTAAAAATTTTTAACCAATATTACTTAATATTTTATAAAAATATTAATTAAATCTATTATTAAACAGATATAACTTGTTTTTATTATAAATTAATAGAAATAATTACAATTTAAATAACTTTTATATGTTAACTTATTTATTATTAAAATTTCTTTTTTTAGATACAATTTAAAAAAAATTATTTTGCTTCTTTATAGTTTAAATTATTCTTTAATTATAAAGTTTAATACTTATAGATTATCACTATAAATCTCACAAAGTTTTGTTTAACAAATTAAAAACCTATTTATTTTTTTCCTATATTATATATCTTTCAATAATATTTTTTAAAAAATAATATTTCTATAGTATATATTCTTTATTCTTTTTTTTCTAAGTATTGAAAAATTTTTTAAAATTTATCATAATATCAATAGTTTTATTTTTGAAGTCTTATGTTTTTTATCTTTTTATATTATATATAAAATTTTCTTCTATTTTATTATAGCATTGCTATAATTGTTTTAAAACTTTTTTCTAAAACTTTTTTATATTTATTATTAAAGTTTTTTAATTTTTTTTCTTGAAATAATAGATTTATTTTATACTAATCTTTATAATATTTTTAAAATTTTAACTTTATTTTTATATAAATAGTCATAAATCAATTTATAAAAATTTTAATCTTATTATTGTATTTTTTTGAATTATTTATTAATTTTTTCTTAAATAATTTTTTGATTATATACTTTATTTTCATTTCTTTAATTAAGTATCAAATCAATCTTTTATCTATATTTTTTTTAAATCTCTATTCCATTAAAACTAGTCATAAATATTCAAATAATTATTTGATTGTTTTTATATCTTAAAAAAAAAAAATTTTTTTTTTTTTTAAATCATAACTGATATTAGATATAAGCTTTTTATTAAGAATTAACTTAATGTCTCGATAATGAAATCTTTAGCATGATATTAATTATTTCATACAAATTTATATATTTCTATATATATATACAAATTAATGATAACCTATCTTGATTTATCTTAAATAAACTTACTATCACTTTTTAAGTGAGCAGACCTAACTAAATTAAACATAATTGTAACAAATTCGTGCCTGCCCCCATCAATTCTGTGTAAGTATACATGACTCTGCGTGACTATGGACCTGAAGTCCACCCTGTCTACTATTTTTGGACTTTCCATGTAACATTATCCGAGATCATCTTTAGCGATCCCAGGCTGAGTGCCTTTCATTATAGTCAATTTGTCTTGTTTCCCCAGAATAGAAATTAGCCCCGTAAACAGTAG